GACCATAATTTTGACAACCACCCGCATGATGAAAACCGACTCTGAGCCCGGCCGTGCTGCGACCTCGTTTCGTCTTGTCGCTGCCAGTAGCACTCGATGGGAGCAAGCCGAGCTTGGAGCAAACACGGATTGAGCCTCCAAAAGTGACGTGGATACAATCGGCGGTTGTCGCAGCAATGCCAAGCATCGACGGACAAGGATAAGTACAGCTTTCTGCTTCGGGCGGGGTGCACGCGGAGCGTGCTACACAAAATCAAGACCTAAACCCTGTATCGCGCGCCAATCCGAATGATAAAGCACCGCGCAACGATGGTTTCTAGTGCATGTCTTTCTCGATGACGGTGGAACCCCGGTACTTGAGGTGTTTCCCAGTGTGCCTCATTATACTCTAACTGTAGGGATCTCTAGGGCTGAGGGTCGAGGTTATGTGAGATGTTCTGTTGTCTTTTGGTTTTCTAGGATTTAGGGTTTAGGGTAGAGGGTTTAGGGTTTAGGGTTTAGGGTAGAGGGTTTAGGCTTCAAGGGGTTTACATTTCCGGTTGCTTGTCTCATGAGATGGCCGCAAAGCAGGTGGGCGAGCGCGTCAACCTGGAAGCAGACTGCATGGGGAAGGTGCAACACAGACTCTAAGGGCTTTAGGAGGGACCCTTGTACGTTATTGGGGTTAATATGGAGACTACCTGGCTGTATAAGGGGTATATAAGGACTATACAATGGTTATTCGAGGTAATGGAGGGAAAGGGTCCCTATTAGGGGTCCCTCCTACAGTCCTTAGACAGACAGCCTGGGTTAATGCGGCAAAGCATACCTTTCAACGTAGTTCTCCTTTAGGGTTACCTGGCTTCTTTATTATGAAGCCCTAACCAAAAGCATGGCGAAGCTCGGACAAAGAACAACAACATTGCAAAAAGGGTTTAGGGTTTCAGGGTTTAAAGGTTTAATTAGGGTTTAGGGTTTAGGGTTCAAGGGTTTAAGGGTTTAAGGGTTTAGGGTTTAGGGTTTAGGCACAATAATAGCTTGGTCCCTTCTTCGGTTGTTGCGTATGTGCAATAGAAGATACCCCAAAACCTTTTTTGAACAGATCGGCTCCTATTGTCAATCTTGGGGCCCCGTGCAGTACGCTGCTGCTGCCGTCGGCAATGTTCGGCAGGAGCTGGCAGAGATGCACCTCGCCTACGCTTTATGTCTTGCCCCGAAGCCCGAAACAGTGAATGAAACGCCAACCCCTAAACCCGACATCCCTAAACCCTAAACCCTAAACCCTAAACTCTAAGCCCGACACCCCTAAACCCTAAACGTGACACCCCTAAACTCTAAACCCTAAACCCGACACCCCTAAACCCTAAACCCGACACCCCTAAACTCTAAACCCTCAACCCGACACCCCTAAACCCTAAACCCGGCACCCCTAAACCCTAAACCCTAAACCCGACACCCCTAAACCCTAAACCCGACACCCCTAAACTCTAAACCCTAAACCCGACACCCCTAA